ACCTACCATGCTTACTCACCCCTGCCTGCCCTCCCACCACCTCTTTACCCATCACCTTTACACCCAGTTACCAACACCGCATCCTTCGTACACTCATTAGCCACAAATGAGGCACCCCATGGCACTCTAAGGCACCCCGCAGCACCCGAGGCACTCCTCAGAACTATGTGGCACTCCTTGTTAACCTGAGGCACCCCATGGCACCTTGAGGCACCTTCTTACTCAGACTGCCGTAAGTAAAGGAAGGAATTAAAGGGAGGAGATGTTAGCTTATAATTTCAGCTAATGTGTCGTGGTAATGGTCGCCTCCTGACCTACCCAACCACGAACACCGTGGCAACAACACTTCCTAAGCAACCACGTACACAAATAACGAACCCCTACACAAATACATAACACGTACACGAATGCACAACACTTAAATACATAACACGTACACAAAACACATACATAAACTCGCAAGCAAAACGTACACACACACACCTCACAGCAGGTAACACTTTCCATCACTTACATTAAACGAGGCGGAACACACACCTTTATAGGTTGAGTCAGGTCATGATGCCTTAATAGTTATGATAGGTTTAACGAAGAAGGTTATTACTTACACGTGAGGAGATGAGAGGGAGAGGAGGGAGGGAGGAGAGGAAGGAGAGGAAAAAGACGAGGAGGTTAGGAGAGAGATGGGGGTGGGGTAGGGAGAGAGGAGAAGGATGGGTAGGAGGGAGAGGGAGGGTGAGAGGAAGGGTAGGAAAGAATATGAAGTGGTAGAAGAAAGGGAGGGTAGTAGGTAGGATGGAGGATAGGAAGATGGAAAGGGAAGAATGGTGAGTGAGAAGGAAGAAGAGAGAGAAATAGGAAGATGCAGTGAATTTGGCAAGAGAATGTCTTTTATGCTTATCTTCTCACCCCACCCCAACCCCACCCCCTACTTCTTCTCTTTCACCTCCTGTTATTCCTCCTCTTCCACCTTCTCCTACTCCTCCTTTCTTACCCCTTCTATTGTTCCTCCTCCTACTTCTTCCTTATCTCCTCCTCCTCCTCCAAGTTTACCCTCTCCAACTTCTAGTGTTATTCTCCCTGATTAATAAATGTTGCTAACGTTCATCTAGACACATGTTTGTATTATTCTTCAACTTTATATTTAATCGAAAGGTTTCAGTCGATCTGCTCATATGAAGTCCTATTTGAAATTTAACCTTTTTTTTTTTACAGGTCCAACAATGAATTTCTTCTCGGCAACGCCGGATAACTCTGGTAGCTGTTAATGAAATATTTAAATTATACCTTACCAACTGTAGTGGTCAAATTCTCCAGCATCACTAATTTCCACAACATCTCCAAAAACGGATCATCCTTCTGTGCAGCTTTCAGTTCTCCAACACTCGTCCTTTCCATTCCACTGTGTCGTACCACCGAAGGGTAGGAGTCTTAGATCTTGCCCTTCTGCCCTCGTCATTACCGCTGATGCTTCGTACCCCTTCCATTGTGGGTCAGGATCCTCGGTTGCACCTGGAAAGTTGTCAACAACAAAGTCTATTATGGGTCCCTCCATGCACAATGCCTCTGCTCTCCGACATAATATGGAATATCAACCTTTAGTTCCTTCACTGGGAACCTTCTAACTGTTCTGTCTGCCAACACACACATCTGAGTAACTTCAGTAAATGGCAAGGCTTCAGACAAGTGTATTGGCTTTAATCTATCATACACAACTCATAGCTCTGATGTGGTCACTGATCTTATGTCTGATCACAAACCAATCCAAGCTAGTATACAGTACATGTAGCCACTGACACCCCCACTGGCGGTAAACTTAAAAGACGCAGACTCACAGTTAAGCAAGAACAAGCACTACCTGCCACCCTGGCGGACAGTTCCTCCGATATCACAGTACCGACATATCCGCCTAAAAGATTAATTATACAAAGTATTTATCTCCAACACACTGCCAAAGTGTGAGCTCTTGAACACAGACACACTCTACAGACTGATGATAATATCACACAGACCATCTACACTGATGGATCTCTTAACACCGCCTGTGGAGGCTGGAAGTGCTATCGTTGTGACTCAACTTGACGGTAATACAATTGAGAAAGAAGTTAGAATTAACAACTGGGCATCCACTCTACAGACCGAATTAGTTGCCATAATCATAGCTCATTTATTGAAACCACTGTCACTGACAGTCTCATCATCACTATCTATCCTCACTACTTGCCCTTGACACCCTCAACCTAGTTGTCACGAACTTGTCTCTGAAGCCAGACACAAATATGCGTACCTTGTCAAGGCCAAACTGTTGTGGATCCCCTCTTAGGCCTCATACCTGTAAGACATGACTGAGTTGATGCCATCGCCAAACTCGCGCCGAACAAAGACACTGTTGAATATAATCTAGGTCTGTCAAAAAGAACCCTTAAAACTGTAATTAGGAAGGAATTTATTGAAATATTTGACACAAGAAGACAAGTGCAAACAGGCACTAGTCGATCCATTGTTTACCATGCTGAGATGTATCAAGTGAAACATGTATATGAAGCAAGTAACAAGATCACAAGATGCTGTAACCGCTCGATTAAGGTTAGGATATAAGTACCTCTGGCAATATGATCTTCAAGCAGATGTAAACAAGACTAAATGTAAAGTGTGTGGCCAGACACATGGCCACACACTTGAACACTACGTCCTCGACTGTGTGAAGATAGAACCTTTTAGGGACCCGGACAGGTCCAAGCACACTGTGTGTGAAATGGCACAACACTTCACCTCTAATGGCAAGATAGCCGACATATTAAGATTGTATCCACTTTTTTGCACTTAGTAGCTACATCAGTTCTCATGTATAGAACCACACACACAATGTGCTTGAATACCTCTTACGCAAATGTGAATAACAAAGTGTGCAGTCAGACATACTGCCTCACACTCCTGTACTCATGCAGCTGTGAATAAGTTACCCTTTATGTATAGAACTAAACAAAATTTATTTGAAATACTCTTAACATTCAATGCCCATAATATCCTGACCAAGGGGGCTAGTTACCCGTAAATTGACCCTTTGTGAACTCGACTCTGTAATCCTTCTGCGCTACTTCACAGGATGAGTGCGGGGTGCCCAATAAACAGCGGCCAGCTGTAAGTGGCAAAATTAAAAATTAATAATGAAAACATTAATTCGGTAAACTGATGCCTTTCTACAAGATCCCTTCTTACTGTTGCTGAAGAACGTCCTGTGTCCCTCTGTAGTCTATATCCTCACTCTGTTCTGCCCTAGTAGCCTCTTCATCGTTGCTACTGCCGGGGTCACTCCTCAGTCTTAATATTTCCAATATTCTTTCTTGTTCCTTCCTTTTCAATTCTGTTAATTTCTCTTTATCCTGGCATAATTCTCTCTCTCGTTCCACTTCCCTCTCACTATCTCGCTCTTCTCTTTCACCCTTTTCTGAACAGATTACTGAAGTGCTTCTCCCTTATGCCCTAAACTTTCACCGAAATCAATTCACTTTTCCCACTCGTTCTCCTTTGTTCAGTATTTCACGAACCTTCCAGTACACAAAGCCTGCCAAGTCAATAACAGGAGTAACATTTAAGTTTTTAACGATTTTCAATTATCAATAAAATTTTCCACAAAACAATAACAAGATATGACAAGAGTCCTTCACACTCGATTCTGTTCTCTTACACCGAATCCATCCACGCACGTCACTACTCCGGATTGTCCTGTCCCGTCCAGTCGCCACTCCTACAATCACCACCTCCAATCGCCACTGTTCTTTCCATTATCGCTCTACCCACCGTCACTACCAATCGTCACTGTCTCTTCTTCTACCGTTCCTCCAACCGTCACTTCCAATCGACACTGTCCCTTTCGTCACCACCCAGCTGGTCGTCACTCGATCCTCATCTCTTCCGTAGTTCTCTATCGCCACTATGTCTTCCGTCGCCGCTTCGCCAACCGTCACTTTGATCGTCATAAGCTGTACTGTTCCTCACTCAGCTGCCAGGGTCCATAGCTCCTGATATGAGCCAGGATATATGCTAAATTAAATGAAGGGAGGTGTTGGGCCTGCACCACCGACCTGACCTGTGCAGCATTCAATGCCCGCCTCCCTCCACCTGTTGGAGTTGGACCCAAACAAAAGGCAAACTACTGTTAAGCCGAACACCGGCTATTCATCCTACCATGCTTGTTGTTTGCTATTAAGTAATGCGGTAGTTGAACATAAATTTTCACGTTACAAATGTGAAAAGTAACGTACAAAATAAACTCTCAATATTTTATTATCTGTTATCAAAGGAATCAACTGTGGAAGGATTTCAAAGTTATTCCGAAAATCTTCAGCTTGTTTAATGACAAAGCAAAAATATCAAGAGTAAGAACCAATATATATGTTGTGTTGTCAAAGTAAGAGACCCGACAATTGTGTGCAAATGAGGCAAAAAGTCAATCAGCAACCTGGGACTTGGTCACAATTTGTTTGATGCCATATGGCAGCAGGGTCTACCATTAGACAATACATTATGCTTCCAATATCTTCCCAGGCGGTAGTACCTCCCTGTTTGGTAGTTGCCTACTACCTACAACGATGATTTTTATGACATAATGCAGTAAAGTATATACATATTGGTAACATTGTATCAGGTTGTGATTTGGCCTTATTTGGCCTTTTAGTTTGAGGTGTGTGGCATTATCCTGTAAAATCAAATGATAAATGTTTGGGTTTACAAAAGGGTTATATAAAACACAGGGATTATATATCGTAAGTGTTTATTAATTAAACTATATTACTTGTCATTAATTCACAAGATTTGTACAGGGCTTACACTATCTACACGGGCAGGTTGGTAACAAGGTGTTGACTACCTGGTGAGGGTCGCGGGTGAACCACATACTGTCATAGATGGTGCACGGGAGGGGTATGATAGTGCACGGGAGGGGTATGATAGTGCACGGGGGGTATGATAGTGCACGGGGGGTATGATAGTGCATAGGTGCAGTGGGGGGGGGCATGAATCTCAACATTCGACAGTCAAACTTGATTAAATAAAATATAATCATTCACCATATCAGAGGTACTTTATGACGGGTTGTGGAATGTGATCAACATTTGGTAACATCTATCATTACCATGTGTGGACAGGTGGTGCGGGCTGTGGGCGGCGGGGGTGTGTGTTACCATCACTACACCCCACGCCTCCCTACACGCCCGCGCGCCTCCCTCCAAAGGTTACAATGGTCATCTTAAGCTTAACAGTATCAATAACTTAATCAATAAATTAAGTCTTTAAAGCATGGTGTCTACCAGCAGGACCTACATGAGTCAGGTCCCTGGAGACGTCTAAAAGCTTTCCGACGCTGGTGAGTTGCTATCTGCAACCTACGGTACAACAAAGCTGCGTATCACGCATGAACACTGATTCCTCATGAAACTGAGGTTTGGGGGTGGTAAACAAGTGTAGCTGGACGCCCACATGGGCGTTGAGTAACAGCTGTAGGCGCAGGTGTCGGCCTAAGTGACCGCTGCTGCCTGGGCAGATGTTCAGCCCATTCGTACATGTCTTGACACTCGGGAACTTGGCCATGGCCGCTCCAGTACGAATCATGCGGAAAATACGCATACATAATCTGACTTGTAGAACAAGGTAGCATCAATTTACCACTACAAAATATAATAAGAAATATATTACACATTCGGAGCTCGATTCAAGCTTACTGACACAGTTTCTTAGAAAAGTCTTTGGTACAGAGGTTGGCTCAAGGGTACAACAGTGGTGCCCCGGGCCTGTGGTGGGCCCGAACCGCTCTGGGCCTCACCATGACTAGCTACGTCCACACAGGCCCACGCCAGTGCCCGGCCGGGTATCACAGTCAGGGTGGCCGCCGTGGTGCTGGCGGCCTAGGGGGGAAGGGAAGAGAGCGTGACAGGCAAGGAACACCAGAGCCCGGGGCTGAGTGTCATCCACGGACACTGGTGTTCCGGCCCCTGCCAGTGCTCCACCAAGTAGAGTACAACACGTACAACGGTAACAGTGACGTACGTCCATCGTGTGTATATTTTCACAGTACTTGGTAGTTTTATCATCATAACATTATCAACACTTGCCTCACTAAATTAAGACTGGGAAGCGTTCAGGTAACAGATAACATAATTTTTTCAAAACTTTTCTTAATAAGATTTACAAATATAACTTCCCATACAAGAATATTTTTCACCAAATAAATATACAAAAAAATATCATAAATTATTAAATACATCAAATTTAATAAGAATATCACTGAACTTCGAGTTTAATAATAACTTATGTTGTTCCACATCATCCACACATCAGCAACCGCTTCCACACGCTAACTGCACACAGGAATGATGACGTGGGCAGCACGGCCGCAACCTTTGACGAGGCCAGGACTCGACTAGTCACTCAAGAGGCCTCAAGTAGCTGCTGTAGCTGCCGGAGAACAACCTGGTCCCATAACTCATCACCTCGATGGTGTATGTAAAGACGACGACGACTGCTGGTCAAGGTCCTCCTCAGAGATAAGCGACATTTCCTCAAGAAGGCCCTATAACGTCTCGGGGTTAGAGGGTGAGGATTCTGGGTGGAGGAGCTCCTTGTACAGTTCAGACTGAAGGAACCGTAAGTATGCATCAGACTCCATCAGTGCCTGGACTCTCTTCTGCGCCGCGTCGAAGATGTACTTATCAGGGCAGTCGAGAGATTTGGCGATCTGGGCTCGGGTACCGGGGTCCAGGTTTATCTGGAGAGAAGAAGAACAACATGTTAGTTTTGTGAGCCAATGTTTTCTTTCTCTTCATTAAAATTATCATCACTAACTACTGTACTTAAAACCTGGACGCTGCTGTATAATATAAAGAAGTGGCCTTAAAACAGCAGCTGTATGTAACCTACTGTAGTATTGTGTTAACGTCCTCAAATGTGGAGTAATCACACCTAATTAAAAATGGTTGGTCATAGCGGCCATTATGAAGGAAATGCGTCATTAACCAACGTCACAACTCATGTCTCTCTTGGAACCCAAACACTTTGCATGGGAGTTTTGACAGGTGGCTACTGGGGCCATGATGGGGGGTTGACATAGGTGTGGGAGGGTTACTGGAGGGGTCAGTTTAGATGTAATAAAATGTATAAGTAAACGAACACAGGAAACAGAAAGATAAAAGAAGTAATGGAAGATAACAAAGACAGGAAATGTCGAGAGAAAGAGATATAAAGTATCTACAGAGAGATAAAGCCAAGAAATTCACTAACGCAGGAGACAGACAGAGACAGAGATGAATCGTGGAGGTTCCTACGAGGGATGGGTGGTTAGGATGGGAAGGAGGTAGTTGGAACGCGTGGTGAACCCGGTGTGGCACTCTGACCTTTACCCAGCTTAAAGGTTATAGATTCGTCCCCCTGCCCTAGGAAACTGCTGCCGTACGCCTCTTCTTCTCATCTACGACCCTTATCCCTCTTTCGTTCTGTTGTTTATATTCGTTTATTGTTGATATTTCTCTCTATCCTTCTTCATTTATCTATCCATTTACATTCGTGTATCCTTTTATTTCTCCTCATTTACTTGTCATTCTATTGTTTGTTATTCACCTACAAGACAACAATGGGATTCGAGTTAAATTATGCACACCTGTCACCTGACGACCTAGTACACCTGTCTACCTCCTGACCTACACCTCTTGTATCTCTACTTCCTCTTGCCTCCTCCTTCTCTACTGTAGAGGAGGTGGAGGTGTGTCAGGTTAGGTTCGGGAAATGTTGTGGGTTAGTAGTAAAACTCTACCCCACACACACACACCTCCCCCACCTACACCTACCACCTCTAACACACCTGTCACCACCTCCCCATAAACCTCTGCCCCCCCCTCCACCTTGCATCTACCCCCCCCCCCTTCCCTACATCCCTCTCTTCCTGCACCGCTCCTCTTGCACCTTTCACGCTTTCCCCGTGCACCTCTCTCTCCCTACCTCCACCTCTCACCGCCCCGTCGCTATGACAACACAGCCACCCAGCCGGGAGAGCTATCGATCTTGTTCACGGCAGCTAAACCACCACCACCACATGGCCTGCCTACTCCTCCACCTTCCTAAGAATTGTATAAACAAATTCTTCCTCTTAAGCGATAATTAACCAACCTCCATCTTATGAAGGTAGAGTCTCAGTGCATCTTTGACACCATTTTTGATAGACGAGGAAGTTAATATTTTCCTCCTAATTGGTGATGTTAAAAAACGATATCAACATGACTTTAAATGGCATCATAATTGCACTGAGACTCTACCTGCCTCTTCTCTCCCTGACCTACGCACTGTGAAGATTAAGAGTCGCTGTATATGCGATGAGATGGTAATGTATGTGAAGGGAACGATGGAAGGAGGAAGGGAGAGAATGGATGGGAGGAAGATGGGACGGAGAGAGGGATGGGGGTGGGGTGGGATGAGGGATAGAACAAAAAGAGGAAGGAGGAAGGAAGAATTACTAATAGATAACATACACATTTACAGTCTAGAAACTTTTGATGACGGATGTTGGACTAGATAACGAGAATCTGACAATGTGAGAGAGACATGCCGGATTATATCCCGCCCACCACAGAGAGAGAGAGAGATACAAAGAGAGACACAAGATTATCTCTTCCTCTTACCACGCCCCCCAGAGATAATTTAACCTTTGTATCTCATGTTTTTTTTAGGGGGGGTGGGGTGTGGGGGGGTGGGGGGGAGGGGTCCTGTCTCACGTTCTCTAAGTGTTACGTCAACATCCAGGGTTGGCCAGGATGGGAGGGAGGTGGAGGGGCAGGGAGGGTAGGAAGCAGAGACGGAGTGAGGGAGGAACGTGGACGAGCTGCAGGTTCATTGGGTGTTGGAGAATAAAAGGGTCAATGGGCTTACCTCTTGCATTTAAAAAAGGTAATACGCTTTATGTTCTCTTTACTGTCTATCTGTCTGTCTGTCTGTCTGTCTCTCTGTCTGTCTGTATTACTGTTATTGTATGAGTCAGTATTACTACCTCTTTGTGTAGTAGTGTTGTGTGTGTATGTGCGTGCTAACATTCATGTATAACTATTGTTTGTACACGAGTATGTATGTATGTATGTATGTATGTATGTATGTATGTATGTCCATGTATACAGCGTCCAAAGCATAAATCACTGTACCCAAGCTACTACACAGAGCAACTTAGTGACCATAACATGAAAACTTACCAACGTGTGACAAGGGGCAAGACAGACGAGGGGCAATACAGACGGGCAAGGCAGACAGGGAATGGAGCAATACAGACAGGAGGGGGGAGGGTCAATACAGCTTAAAGGGCAAAAATATAAGGGCAAGATAGCTTACCTCCTTAGGGGACTGGACCGCCACGTAGTCAGAATGGATCTTGGTGGCTTTAGAAGTCATCTTGGCCGCCCGTGTCTTCCTGAAGTCTTCTACAGCTAGCCAGAATTCCACATTCTCTTCGCTAAACTCTCGCTGGAGGAAGGCCTTGAAGAGTGCCTGGCCGTCTGGAGAAGGAGAAAAACGTACTGGTTAGTGTGTGTCAACTCTTCTTTCAGCTGGTTGGCTTAGACTAGGTTGGGTTGGTATTTTGATTGGTTAAGATAGTTTACAGTGTTTTGATTGGCTATCTTTTTTTCTTTAGGAGGGAGATTGAAGAGGTTACGTAAGGAGAAAGATATTATATAAGTGTGTGGAGAGAGAGAGAGAGAGAGAGAGAGAGAGAGAGAGAGATATCTGCTCTTTGAATATTACATAATAATTAAACCTAAAGGTCCTTAAACATTCCTTCATCTCCCCCTCGTTACCTCCCTATTCTCCCTCACCTCCTCCAGTTTCCTGATTAATGACTCGTGACGTAATGGTTGTCGTAGGTCTTTCCATATCTAATCACACAAGACCTAAAATTAGAATGTGTGTGTGTGTGTGTGTGTGTGTGTGTGTGAATTATAAAATCACTGTCAAGATCTCTTTTTTTTATCCAACCTTCCACCATCCCCCACACCTTCCATCCCCCACACCTTCCATCCCCCACACCTTCCATCCCCCACACAAGACGTCACAGCGGCCAGCCTACACACAACCTTACAACATGAAAGGCGTTGTTGTCACCCTGTCACTCCCTCCCTCCCTCCCTCCCTCGTCCTTGTAGGTGCTTTACGCCTCACCCTGGCCACACTTCGAGTACCACCACCTGGCCACCACCAAAACCCTTGTACCTCCACTCACGCTATTTTCGCAACTCTCAGCTGCCAAAATCATGTTGCCAAGGATCTACGGGACAAAACGGTCTCGTGTATAAATCACTGACGCTGTTTACTTTAGGTTATGAGAAGCCTCTTTGATGAGTGTCGGAACTATGAAGGATGAACGCGGGCGATACCTGGAAAATATCAGCCAATAGCCCGAATAGTTTAAGGTATTTTAGAATTTTAGGTGGAGCTAATTATGGACATGATTGGTGGAGGGGAGGGGGGGAGGGTGGTACTAGTGCTGCTAATACTCGCCTTCCCCTCCTCAAGGTTGGACCAACACCAACAATCTCAGGAAGGTGGAATGCGTCGCAAATTTTGGCCAATTATACCACGAGCAAAGTCCACCACATCGCGTGCTGGTGGTCCCTCCTGCCAAATTCCAGCAGTCCCATTTATCTCTCATGAGTTTTTCCTCCCCACCTCCCCTCCCCCTAACACCTCCCCTCCCCCCCTAACACCTCCCCTCCCCCTCTCAGGACAAGAATTACATAATCTACCTCACCCCATCGTCCAAGGGAATGAGGGAGAAGGAAGAAGAGAATTTCCCCAGTATGGAAGGCAGATATACCCTTAGAATGATTTAGTTTTATAATCAACAAGAGCCATTATCTGTCATCTACTAAGAGACTAATTAACTAATCTCTTTTACCCGGGAGAGATCAGCGTGTTTGCTCAGAGCCACCAGGAGCCAGAGACGTTCTTTTCCTCCATGACCTTCAACCCCCCCCCCGCCCCGTCTCTCCCCCTCCTACCGTTCTCTATGGTGCCGCGCCTACTGGGAGTGCTTATAACTGCGGGTGCCACCGTATGACCCGTGGCACTGACCGAGACGCAAGAGGAAGTAACCCGGCACAACAACAGTCCCTAATTAAGAGTCTTGGCGGTAATAAAGATTTAATAAATAAGATGACTACACTGACTCTAATTACGCGTAGATAGAAAACAAAATCTATTAACACACACACACACACGTCGACTTAAAATAGAACCGTAAAGGCGAGAGGAGTGTTCAGGGCATCATAAAAGTCAACCAGGGAGCCAGTCCATCGGTTCGTGAAAGGAGTTAAAAGAGGAATTACACCTGAAGACGTCCCCTCCACCCTCCCCCAATACTCTCAAGTTAAAGTGTGTCCACGTGTAACCTTGGAACCTTGAAATCGACTTCAATTAAGACCTTCCCTTCCATCACTCCGTCAGTTTCAACACACGAGGGACAGAAGAGGGAGGAGGGAGATTTCAGCGGCCCTCAACTTCCTTTAGCTATACAAGGTTCCTGTGTCGAGTAACCCACGTGTGTGTATTTAATGTTTCCCTGTGGACCTCCTTATTAATCTCTCCCCCCTTCTTTCCCTCCCTCTCCCCCCCTCTTCCTTCCTCTTCTCTCCATCCCTCCTCCCCCCATTCATTCCTCTTCTCTCCCTGTTCATTCCCTACACCGAATAAATAACAACATCTAAATATCCATAAATCCTACTCAGAACAAACAACTTCATTAAAAAAAAAATCCCCTAATCCCCCACAATCCCTAATCTTAACCATTATAATCCCCCAATCCTAAGAGGAAGAACTCCTAATTGTGATCATAACTCAAACATAACCAGAGCAGATACCAAGATAACACTAATAACTCAGAAGGCATTAACGAAAGAGGAGAGTTAAATATATGATGAGGTAATGTAGAGAGAACCCCCCTCCTCCCTCCCTCCCTCCCTCCCTCCCTCCCTCTCTCTCTCTCTCTCTCTCTGTCTGTCTCTCTCTCTCTCTCTCTCCACCTCCAGGAAGCAACACAAAGAGGCCGGGGAGACTTACATTTTGAGGCCATGAGGTTGTGGAAACTCTCTGCCCACCCCTGTACTTCTTCAGGTTGAGGTCGGACACTGACTTGAGCCTCACCACGACGCCGCAGCCAACCGAGTCTTAGCCGCATGTCACTCCTGCGGGAAGAAGAAAAATACAGGTCACAAGAGGTCATAAATAATGTTAGAACAGGTCAAATAGATGATAATTTAACGTGATATAATGATAATGGTGTGTGTGTGTGTGTGTGTGTGCAGGATATGACAACAGTATGTCAATAGAGGATGCAGAAGTCCCAAACATTTTTAGTAAATAGGATAAGAAATGAAGAGAGAGAGAGAGAGAGAATCATAGAAATATTGTCATAAGAAGTATTAGAAAGAAAGTAACTGGGAGGCGTTTAGTATGTATAATATGACAGTAAAAGATATTGAAACTACTGTCACAAGTGTCATGGGGGAGGGAGAGCGTGACAGGATGTAGCCACCTCTCTGTAGTCATGACGCAGGGAGGGTGATGTGTGTGTGTGTGTGTGTGTGTGTGTGTGTGTAGTGTGTGTGTGTGTGTGTGTGTGTGTGTGTGTGTGTATGTGTGTGTGTGTGTGTGTGTGTATGTGTGTGTGTGGAGGATGTTTTGAAAGCCACAGCTGGTAATGTGATACAATTCTTTACACGTGTCTAGAACAGTTTATCTCGTTAGGATATAATTAACACGTAGATATTACTGTATTGTGTCTAATATCGGTGGTGGTAGTAGTAGTAGTAGTAGTAGTAGTAGTAGTAGTAGTAGTAGTAGTAGTAGTGGTGGTGGTGGTGGTAGAAGTGGTGGTAGTAGCTACTGTTATTAATATTTTGATTATCTCCATCGTGTTATGAACAGAGAGGTTCGGGATCAGGGCAGATGAGGTTGGCGAGATGCTCCTCACCGCCACAGATGTGATCCACAGCCGGACCTCCTTAGAGAGAGAGAGGAGAAAAATGAAGATAGAGACGATCAGAAAGAGGAAAGTTCGACAGATGGAGACAGAAAGAAAGTAAGGGAGAGAAAGTGTGAGAAAAAAGTTGAGAAAGTTGAGAGTAGAGGATAGGATTTCTGGAATGCAGGTGAGAGTTGGGAAGGGGAGAGAGGGGGGGCGAGAGACAGGGAGGGTTAGACCACCGTCTCACCCTACAGAACACCAGGAATCTCTCTCTCTCTCTCTCCATCTCGTGTTACGAATCCACACAAAAATCCTTTACGTCAAACTCTCCCTCAGTGTGCGTGTGTTCGGGGTGACACGGCAGTGGCTGGTGACGTCACGCATACGTCACCAGCCACAAACCCGCTTCCTTGCACCCCGTCCCCACCCGCACCCCCACCCGCACCCACACCCCCTAGGTCCTCCAATGGTTCGAGTCATCTTACCTGACTTAATCCCACCAGGTATCATTAAGGTGGTTAATTTTCAGGTGTGATAAGCTGGAGGTGGGCCTAATCTTCAGGTGATGCAATTAACAGCTAAGAGCTTGTTTGACAGGCGGCAGTGTTGTGAGGACATTAAACACCGTAAACTCAGTATTTACGGTCAAAACAAAGACTAATGTTGTGGTTTTAAGCTGTGGTAGTTGTTAGAGACGTAGTTATATTCTGTAGTATGTTGTGAGGTTACTAACTACCTAACTTTATTCTACAAGATGTAACAAAATTTACGAACTACAAACGCGTGTAGTAGTTTGCTTCCTGGTGTAAGAAGAGAGACATTTGGTTAATCTTGGCGACTCAACAAACACACAGTATCACACAAAAAGAAACCACGACACCAGATACGGCTGCGTGTGACTTGTATCGTAATATCAGCTTATATGACGTAATGTGTGCAGGAGGGGTGGGGTGGGGTGGGGTGGGGGTCGACCGGGCAGCCAACCCTCCCCCCCTCCACACTTTACCTGTACACCTGGCCGAGTGGCTTAACTGATCATTACTAATTATGTATACGTCAACATCCAGGTGATTATACTACTAGTCTTCACCAGTTCTTTTGTAAACAGTGAAAATAAATTTCTCGTAAAGTGTAACCACTAGTGACATTTTACCTAAAGAGTATTTCTGTTCTAGTCTTTATAAATGTGTATATATATATATTTACTGGCAACGGAAAACAAGTGAAGATCACACTAAATTAAGATGACAAGGTAAATCTGTTCATAAATTCTACACCAACAGTAACAATTAACACAAGGAGGAGGAGGAGGGGTCATTAAGAAACATGTGGGGGACGTTTACGATATCAAGGACAAGATGTAGTATAAACTTTAACCCCATCCCCTTCATCTCTCTCTCTCTCTCTCTCAGCTGGGTCTTAGCCAACCCTTTACCACCATCAACAACACGACGCTGCTCTCAATGCGCTCACCTTCTTGCCCTAGTGCACGAAAACAAAGTCAAGGGAACACACGCAAACACACACACACGCAAACACACACACACACACACACACACACACACACACTGTCTGACTCTTATAATTTTGGCAGTCTGCCGACACACTGGACTAAACACACTTGGCAGACAAACTTTATCCTTACACGGAGGCACTGTACACTTGGCACTATCTCACAGCTATAGAGACTCGGTGCCACTATCTCACTCAAACAGAAAACCTTCACACAAAATTGGCACTACTTCACTCTCACAGACAACCCTTAAACACAGTTGGCACCATCGTCAACGGGAGGTGTATGTTATATTACCGTTTGCCGTGGGCGAGTGAGTCCGCGATGGCAGAGTTGAGGGAGCCGAGGACGTTCTTTGTAGCCTTGAGGGACTCCCGTCGAAGATCAGTGGCAATCATGATGCTACTTCTACAGGCTAGGCGTACCAGCCACTACTGAAGGAGGTGGGGAAGAAGGGAGGAGGAGGAGAGGGGGTTGGTAGGCGTTGGTAGAGTCCTCGAGATGTTGACACCACAAACAGTCTTTTTCTAGACTTGTTCGTGAAGGTGGTCACCTTTGTCTTGCAGGCCACTAAAGTGTTCAGTAAATCACTGTATTAAACTGTCTCAGTAGCGATGATGTAGGTGGACGGTCAGTTGACGTTTGCACTACAGTTGATGTTCGCACCTAAGACTTATCAGAGTTCCTGTCTTCTTGTTTCCATTCAGATAAACTTGTTGTTACACACTGGGATAAACTCAACTGGACGTTGGGTTAAGTATAAGCTTCGAGCATTAGAGTGGATTGAGGTCTTCCTCTTGTGGCGCTCGGACCTGGTCTGAGGAGCAACCCACCGCGGCCCATCTAAATAGACCCGGCTTGCATACGCGCGCGCACCCACACACACGCATGCCTCCCTCATTCCCTCCCTCCACTTCTTTCTCTCAGTGCTCTGCTCTCAACTACTTCTCACCAGTAGATCACCAGTAAATAAATAATGAACCCGTTAACAAGTAGAAATGAGTTAACAACAGCATGGGGGAGCTGTGAGAGAAGACATCAACTTGTGAGCGACAAAGAAACATTAAACAATTGATTCTCTCAATAAAAATAATATTTTAACACTTGTCTTGGTCTTATCCTCACTGTTTATATATTTTCACTGTCTATGCACATGACGAGCCAATGTAAACTTACTTGGTGATATAATTTACTTTATCTTCTATGTATCTCGCTATCCGGTGGGAGTTTGGGGAGGTAAGCGACGCGTCTCATAATGGCGAACTAAAGACAACTAAATCAAGCAAAAGTTATGAATTAATTACTGTTGAGTGAACTTCGTCATGTAAGCAGTGAATGACATCTAGCCCTAACTGTGAGGTTCCTGTCCTCATCCACACCATAGTGAGGGAAGGAGGGAGGCGATAGATAATAAACACATCAATATGAGGTAAACAAAAGGAAGGTGAGGTGGATAACCCAGGATAAGTAACTGATCAAGGACACCGAGGAGTGTTAAGAAAAAATACGCTGGTTATGAAGTGATGAAATTTCAAGCAAACACACAGCCTCCCGGATATCCTCAGGTTCACCCCCCCCCCACCTCCCACCTCCCTTTCTTCCTCCGCTTATCTTATTATGGGGGAGGAATTACCATAGGGCCAAGTACACGCCAAGCAGATGTAACCCGTGATCGACTCAACTAGCACTGTCTGAGTGTTCCTACCCCCCTCTCTCCCTCTTGCCCCTTCTGTCCCTCCTACTTCTCACCCCCCCTCTCCTACCCCAGTCCAACAAGACAAGCGGCGCAGCAGCAACGGTCCGGGCCGGCTCGGCCCGGACCGGCCCAGAGAAGATCAGTAAGCCCGTGGCGTTCATACGGGGAGGGTGTTGCTAAGCCGTCAGGGTAAGATCAGGGTAACTAATTCAACAACCTCACTCCTTCATTAACCTCATAAACTATCCTAGGTTAGGAGTTGTGACGACCTCCCTCGTGACTGTGTGATCAGGGATGTTGCCAAAGGTCAATAATAAGTCATCTTGCAAGAGTTGGGAAGTTCAGGGGGACAGTAGCTGGTGGCGGGAAGGTCCTCTCTCACGCTTGGGGTTACCCCATTGAGGCTGGTGGAGACAGTTACTACTGACCACAGTTTTCTTCACAATTGGTTTACTTTACAGTATATATCAGGTGCCTACAAGAGAGCCCAGGCTCTCAACTGGCTCAGCCATGTTAATATTATGATTTTTAATCGACTCTGTATCTGTGTTCTTCTGGCTAAATAAACAGTTTCAATATCAATATTACCATACGGAGACACTGCTTGGAATTCTATCCTTTTTCCCTGCAACCGATTTGTTGCGGCCCCTCTGAGTAATACTTGCGTAGGTTCATTTCTCGTTATTTACTTTGTGAGTCATTGTCGGCGTCACGTGCCAGTATACAAGTCGGGAGGTTGGTCGGGTTTCTGTTGTACACTGTTGGTGAGTAATGGGACGGGTATGTGAGGGGTCTCCACTGTTGTGTTGAGGTACACTGGGTGGTGGAGGAAGGTAAGCCAATAAGTATGATAATTAATGAGGTACAAGACCTGATCTAACCTAACCTAACTCAACGTAACCTTACCTAACCTAATTCAACGTAACCTAACCTAACCTAACCTTACAGATATGATTATAGACTACAGGTATGATTATAGACTACAGGTATGATTATAGACTACAGGTATGATTATAGACTACAGGTATGATTATAGACTACAGGTATGATTATAGACTACAGGTATGATTATAGGTATGATTATAGACTACAGGTATGATTATAGACTACAGGTATGATTATAGACTACAGGTATGATTATAGACTTCAGTTGAACTTGAATAAAATTTTGGATAAAATTTTGTTATTAAATTGATTACCCTTATAAATTCTAAGTGTTGTGTGAAATAGAGCAAATCTCTCTCTCTCTCTCTCTCTCTCTCTCTCAATAATCGTCCTCTATCTGCCTCTGCCTGCCAGTTTGTCTGTCTCTTTCTCTATCAATCTATGTTTCTTTCTCTGTATCTTTGTCCCTCTGTCACTATTTCTGTCTGTCTCTTTGTCCCTCTGTCACTATTTCTGTCTGTCTCTCTGTCTCTTTGTCCCTCTGTCACTATTTCTGTCTGTCTCTCTCTATGTCTCTTTGTCCCTCTGTCACTATTTCTGTCTGTCTCTCTGTCTCTTTGTCCCTCTGTCACTATTTCTGTCTGTCTGTCTCTGTCTCTTTGTCCCTCTGTCACTATTTCTGTCTGTGTATGTCTCTCTCTGTCCCTTTGTCCCTCTGTCACTATCTCTCTCTCTGTCTCTCTCTCTCACTCCAGTTTTCCACGCTACAAGTTTTTATGGTAAAAATTAATTGCATTCTTATTTTTTCTCTTGTCTCTATCGTTCCGTCTATTATTCTTCTTCTTCTTCTGCATCTTAGGACTTCCCCGAGACGGCTAAATGCCCCCCACTCCCCTTACGAAATACTTCCCCCCTGAAATAAAAACTAAGTGGTCCTCAACCTCTTTGATGGCTGTAGGTTAATTTTTTTTTGGGTTTTTGTCCTTGGTGTCTTCAAGGTATACTTAAAATGATTAATTGTTTGGTGGAGTTTTTAGTTTTTATTATTTTTTCTTGTGTTTTTTATTATTATTATTCGTATGTGTGTGTATGTGTCGTTTTTTTACGATTCTCTCTTTTTTCCCCCATCAATCAAGTGCTCTCTCTCTCTCTCTCTCTCTCTCTCTCTCTCTCTCTCTCTCTGTCTTCCCCCAAGCGTTTAATGGTCGTCTTGTGAAATACTGTCTCCATTGTTGTCTTATGAAACTATTATTTATTTTTCACCAAAGAAATTGTTCGTCAAAGTTCAGGGAGTTGATTCTAAATGTCTTTATATACACGCTGACATCCCGCGGGTGGAAGGGGGTTAGGGGCTAGGGAGGAAGGAGAGGAGGAGAAGGAGGGGGGAAGGGGAAGGAGGGGGGAGGGGGGGGATTCTTTGTCACACGAAGACCAACTGCCTGAGTTTTAGAATACAGTATTTATTCACAGAAAATTAATTGTAATAAAAGACAATAATAATAATAATAATAATAATAATAATAATCATCTACCAAGGGGTAAGATCTATTTATACATACTAGTAAGAATTTGAGATTTTTTTTTTACTGATAGATACAGAGATAAGGATAATAACGCCCTGATACCAGCTGACCCTCGAGTACTACCTCTGATACCAGCAGAACCGCTGATCTATACAGCACAGTAAGTAACTAGGTAGAGAGAGATGAAGGTTAATATGCACGCTGGCTACATCTTGAGCCAGGAAGCGTAACGGACTGAGTGTGGCACCTCACGGGGTGTTGACGGTCGCCTGGTCCAGTACTCATCAAAATGATCGACTCCAGCTCTCATCAGAACGCTTCATTTTCATCTACGTCCCATTATAATTTTCCGAACTAATTTACTTACAAAAACAATCATCGGCAAAATGACATTTTATCATTAAAAAAATCAGTTACGGTGTTATGATGGGTGATGAAGTGATGAGTAATGATAATGAGTAATGCTGTGAGTGATAGTGGTGGTATGATGACCTGGTGGGTGAAATCTTAACACAGTGTTCATTTTCCCAGATTGATGATTATGAATGTCTTGCTACGTAAATAACACTAATCCAACCCAACCCAACCCAACCCAACCCTCTTGTTCCTCAAAAACAAACCCGGGCAACACCGGGTATTACAAACCAGAGTGAGAAGTGGCCATAGAGAGGAAATAAAACATGAAAAACAAAATTTCTTGAGGGAAAATTTGTATTCATAAGATTAATTGATGTTGTTTAAATAGACAAAAGAAAAAGACACTGTTCAGTAAGGCTTGAGGCTGTTCCTATGATCTTTTCTGCTCTCCTTCACTCGTGTTAACTGTTGGTGGCGCTCAAACTTCTTTTACCCAACAAGGAAAAATTGCCGGTACCGTTAAGTGTTCTCGTGGAGGTTCTTAAACTTCAAAAGGTTTTACATCTCATCTTCCTTATCCTCTGGCGGTGGCGACGGCGATGACGATGACGATGACATCAAATCGTCAAGACCGGGGAACTCAGGCTGGTGCTGTTGGTTGTCTTCTCCATATTAAGTAATTTTAATTTTTCCCGCGTTGAGCGCAGATTCCATGCACAGGTAAGCGTGGGTCATCTTTCTTCTTATTAAGTTTTCGGTATTCAGACAAATTTTACAGAATACATAGTCCCCAATTTATTCTGCTTGGCGTCTGCAGCTGTTACAATAGGGGACGAGGACTCCGTCGCTCTGGTTGTAGAGCCACTGCTTAACATAGTCAGTAGCGCCATGAGTCAATATGGCAGCTACCTCCATTTCCCCCAGACGCAGCCCGCCTCCCTTGGCCAGGCCTTGTGTAGGCTGTCTTGTCATCTAATCTACAAGACCGTTGTGCCTTGCATTACATTTTGGTCCCGCCAGATGCTTAAGGCGTTGAAAAAATATTGGGGCACAGAAAACCTCTCCCAAGTCCTGCCCTTCAGGCGTGTAGAATCTTTAACACGATTCTATGCCCGCGTCTGTTACCAGCTTTAAATACGGCGTGTTCTTTTTCACTTCAATTTGACAGCCTGTTTTCTTAGCCAACAACCCCAACATTCCCTCTACATGAAAACTAACAGTTTGACGGTCAATAAAGCCATGAGGGTTCATAAAAATATCCGGCACAAGTCCGTCTGCCGTCCGGGGTAACTGTTCGTCGGGTATGATAGCGCATATCACACCTTTTTGACCACAAAGCGGAGCGAATTTATCGCCAACTTCAGGGTGCAAGGTCACTTCCACTCTGACCTCGTACGTCATTTTCCCATCAGGTAAACAAGCAAAGTACGTGCTCACAATTTTGCCGGGTTTCCTACCTTTGGGGATTTTGACAGAGTCAGATTTTGAACACAGAATCACAATATCGCCTTCGGACACAACTGTGCCGCGTTGTGCCAATTTTACTTCGCCGTCTTCATTGCTGTCCCAGACTTTTCTGTATGTATAATAATGCAAACTAGTGAACGCTCCTCTGTCGATTGCCCCTTGACTAAACACAAGGCCGTCCTCTTGGTTGTAGCCAAAGATCGGCATGACAGCGACGTTCATAACCTGGCCGGAGTATAGATATTGAAAATTGGGGAGGCGTCGCATTTCTGCCGGATAAACTAAGGGCATCTCCGGATTCCTCAGGACGAAATAATTACTTTCATTAGTGAGAACTTAACTTTTTACCGGAACGCCCATAGCTTGTTTCTGCATTTTACACGACCCAATAGTTCTTGTACATTAGTTGAGGTCAAATAAGGGGGTAGCCGCTGCTGTGAGACCGTGCCTAAGGATTGGGTCCAGTTCGCAGTAATCAAAGGCGGGTCCGGTTGGGGTGAGATCTTCCAACTTTTCAGCAATAATAACCCAAGAATTTTCACCGCCATCAATATAATCCACGATCCCCTTTTTTCGCAAATAATCCAAATTACATTTGTTTAAATTTAAATTTTCTAAATCTGTTTTTGAAAGAACAATTTACCTGTTCTTCACCACCAGTACGGGACGCAAGATCCGACCCTCATCACAACTTATGTGGAGATCATTATTTTTACGCCAGAGGCCGAAGTGCATCCTCATAGTTCGGCGGAAATTTACCAACATGGTAATCACCTCCTCCTTGGGGCCGAGCAGGTTACCAATCCAGACCCCATTCAAAAATATTTTACCGTGTTTGTCACATTTGGGGCACTCATTAACGTCGAACAAATTAACTTTTAAATATTTGAAGGTTTTCAGAATTATTTCAGGGTTTTCTTTGGGTGAGATTATTGCACCTGTAGTTAGATGCTCCGTTAATCCGACCTTTTCATTATCTGGCGTCTCGAAGGGGCAAATAAAACCTACTGAATCCAAGCGTAACTCCTAAGGTTTTGATCCGTCACCAATCAGGAGTTTGTCTTCTCCGTTCACCTCGCGCAGTTGGGATAAGTATTACATATAATTGACTCTTTCTAAGTTATGGGTAACGCCCTTCATTGCGTTTTGATTTTCACCCCAAACACCAGTTTTTATGGCGGTTTCGAGCGCCCTTCGGATGCTATCGTCATGGAACTTAAAAATTTTACAAAAGTCTTGTAATTCTAATTTCTGTTTTACTCCTTCAGCAACATACGTGTTATTCTCGCCAGTTTTCTGGACGAGAACGCCTGGTAACATTTGATGTATAATATTTTTGGCTAATTCCATATGTTTAGGAATAGGGCCAGCCACCCGCTCTTCAATCCACTCTTGCCTCTCCGTCTCGTAAAATTTGTTCAGAGTCATTTCGGTTTTGTCGAAGACCGACTTGAGTGTTTGTTCATAAAGATGCTGCATCAACACCCCGGAGGTTAACACATTTCTGTTGGCCACATGCAGGGCCTCATCATAGTGTGTTTTGCCACAGAGAGTCATCAGCAGTTGATTTACCATAAGGGAGAGAAACATCCCCTTTGTTTTCATTGATTCACCAATGTGGGGCAGTAATGTCGTTTTCAGAATAACTCTCATATTTGCTTTTGCCCATTTGCTGTGCTTCATTTTTTTTTGGAGTAATTTCTGGGACTCCTCGATGTCTCCCCATTCGAAAAGTTTGTCCACCAGGAGGACATTTTCCTCCACGTCTTTGCATCCTTTAAGCATGACTTTCTTAAATAATTTTTTCAAGGCACTTATTTCTACTTCGTCATATTCCTCTTCTTCAGTGGTAGGATCTTCATCTCCATATTACGGGGTGCGCTTGGGTTTACGTGAACCAAAGCCCATGGCAGCAAATAAAGTTTATAGTGGGCCATAAATATCACAGCCGTAACCTGCCGATATCGACGCGTCTATTGTATTATGCCTTGTTACGTAAAGTGTTGTTTAAAATCCAATTCTGCCTATCGATGTACTAAATATTGCATTTTTGGAAATGTATCGCTTGGCCTTAACTCCCAAACATCTGGTTACCATGTTTGTATTTTTCCGGATCACGTTTCTATTCAAAATAATTTTTTCTTGGCCATCAATAATAAAATAGCCACCGGGTTCACCTGGCAGCTCCCCAGCCAACATCTTTTCATCGTCGTTCATACGTCGTGTTGGACACACAGATGACCCGACCATAAGGGGAATTTCTCCCATAAACAATCTATGTGAAAATTGTTTAAAATTACGCCCATCTTTGTCAACAAAAGTGTATTCGGCATTTACAGTTAGTGGTAACATATAAGACCTTTTTAATTGTCTACAATATTTTATATCCTGAGTAATTTTGCCCGGCTTGACATTACTTAGGTTAATAAGATGTTAACCAACTAAATTCTCGAAGGTAAAACACTTCACAGAATCAGTTTTCAAAACCACTTGTGAAATGAATTTCTCATAACTATCGAGGGTGACGTAGTGTTGACCGCGCTCATCAAGTATAATACTTGTTATGAGCTCTGACACACAGGTCGTCTCTCCCTCAGGTTCAGCCCTCCTCCGTTTTACCTCGCCTGACTCACTGGCTGACCGTTTTCGCTTTCTCTCTTACATTTTATCGCCTCTGTTATCAGGAACACTTCTGTTATCACAGTCCATTATAAGTATTTTACAGTAATTACTGAAACAATTATCAGCTAAATGACATTGATCATTAAAGAAGCTAGTTAGGGTGGAACCAGTGATGGTGTGATGTTATGGTGAGTGATGGTGATAGTGAAGTTCATGGGTGATGGAGTGATGTTATGGTGAGTGATGGTGATAGTGAAGTTAATGGGTGATGGAGTGATGTTATGGTGAGTGATGGTGATAGTGAAGTTCATGGGTGATGGAGTGATGTTATGGTGAGTGATGGTGATAGTGAAGTTAATGGGTGATGGAGTGATGTTATGGTGAGTGATGGTGATAGTGAAGTTAATGGGTGATGGAGTGATGTTATGGTGCGTGGTGATAGTGATGATAATGTGAGTCATGGTGTGATGTTATGGTGCGTGATGGTGATAGTGAAGTTAATGGGTGATGGAGTGATGTTATGGTGAGTGATGGTGATAGTGAAGTTAATGGGTGATGGAGTGATGTTATGGTGCGTGGTGATAGTGATGATAATGTGAGTCATGGTGTGATGTTATGGTGCGTGATGGTGATAGTGAAGTTAATGGGTGATGGAGTGATGTTATGGTGCGTGGTGATAGTGATGATAATGTGAGTCATGGTGTGATGTTATGGTGCGTGATGGTGATAGTGATGATAGTGAGTCATGATGTGATGTTATGGTGCGTCATGATGATAGTGATGATAATGAGTCATGGTGTGATGTTATGGTAGTGAAGTTAATGGGTGATGGAGTGATGTTATGGTGCGTGTTGGTGATAGTGAAGGTAATGGATGATGGAGTGATGTTATGGTGCATGATGGTGATAGTGATGATAATGAGTCACGGTGTGATGTTATGGTGCGTGATGGTGATAGTGAAGATAATGGGTGATGAAGTGATGTTATGGTGCGTGATGGTGATAGTGATGATAATGAGTCATGGTGTGATGTTATGGTACTGAAGTTAATGGGTGATGGAGTGATGTTATGGTGCGTGATGGTGATAGTGAAGGTAATGGATGATGGAGTGATGTTATGGTGTGTGATGGTGATAGTGATGATAATGAGTCACGGTGTGATGTTATGGTGAGTGATGGTGATAGTGAAGTTAATGGGTGATGAAGTGATGTTATGGTGCGTGATGGTGATAGCGATGATAATGAGTCATGGTGTGATGTTATTGTAGTGAAGTTAATGGGTGATGGTGTGATATTATGGTGCGTGATGGTGATAGTGAAGTTAATGGATGATGGAGTGATGTTATGGTATGTGATGATGATAGTGATGATAATGAGTCATGGTGTGTTATGGTGCGTGATGGTGATGGTGATGATAATGATTCATGGTGTGATCTTTTTTGCGTGATGGTGATGGTGATGATGATGAGTCATGGTGTGATGTTATGGTGCATGATGGTGATAGTGATGATAATGAGTCATGGTGTGATATTATGGTAGTGAAGTTAATGGGTGATGGTGTGGATGTTTGGTGCGTAATGAAGTGATAGTGATGGTAATGAGTAATGGTGATGTTATGGTGCGTGATGGTGATAGTGATGATAATGAGCATGGTGTGATGTTATGGTAGTGAAGTTAATGGGTGATGGTGTGATGTTATGGTGCGTAATGAAGTGATAGTGATGGTAATGAGTAATGGTGTGATGTTATGGTGCGTGATGGTGATAGTGATGATAATGAGCATGGTGTGATGCTATGGCAGTGAAGCATGGGTGATGGTGTGATGTTATGGTGCGTTATGGTGATAGTGAAGTTAATGGGTGATGGAGTGATGTTATGGTGCATAATGAAGCGATAGTGATGGTAATGAGTAATGGTGTGATGTTATGGTGCATGATGGTGATAGTGATGATAATGAGCATGGTGTGATGTTATGGTAGTGAAGTTAATGGGTGATGGTGATAGTGAAGTTAATGGGTGATGGAGTGATGTTATTGTGCGTGATGGTGATAGTGATGATAATGAGTCATGGTGTGATGTTATGGTGCGTGATGGTGATAGTGATGATAATGAGTCATGATGTGATGTTATGGTGCGTGATGGTGATAGTAATGATAATGAGTCATGGTGTGATGTTATGGTGCGAGATGGTGATAGTAATGATGAGTCATGGTGTGATGTTATGGTGCGTAATGGTGATGGTGATGATAATGAGTCATGGTGTGATGTTATGGTAGTGAAGTTAATGGGTGATGGTGTGATATTATGGTGCGTGATGGTGATAGTGATGATAATGAGACAGACAGATAGGTTATAAATAAAATGTATCGTTATTATTATTATTGTTGTTGTTGTTCAAAGTAACCGACTTTGAACGTGTTGCAGTAATCAATTTCAACCTAACCTAACCTAACCTAACTAAACCTTAATTTAAATCATCACTACAACTACATTATTATCTACACTATATCAACTACACTATCATTAAATGGTGGTGGTTATGGTGATGTTGGTAATAGTGATGATGGTAGCTATAATAATGGTGGTAATAGTGATGATGGTAGTTATGATGATGGTGGTAATAGTGATGATGCTGGTTATGGTGATGGTGGTAATAGTGATGATGGTAGT